ATGTTTATAGTGAATGCCCCTATGAATGGTTTTATTTTTACGATTTCGTTTTAATCCAAATGATGCGTGTGCTAAGTGAGTGAACATCAAAGATCACACAACAGAATTGCACGCTCTCTCTCGCTCTCTCTCCCTACCGTTAAGTAACTTGTGCATTGTTTTACTTACTTGTTTTTGACATATCCAACCGAACTACAAACTTTCCAGTGATGTCTGTGAGAAAGGTATATTCACTCGACAAGCTCGCGCATCTGCGCCACTGTGCGCTCAATCCACTCAGCGCGCTTTGCTTATCAGCTCGCGCACATCAGCTATACAGGCGTATATTATAATAATTGCATACATATACTTCGTAGTAGACATCCTTAACATTTTAATGAGTACGAGTACAGGATACCAGTATCGGTATCGGTGCATCCCTAATTATTATTATAAGACCAAACAGACTAAAGGCATTGCAAAGCTGATAGTTCATCCATTTACAATAGCTTTCCCATAATATTTCGGATTGTATTTGTAGCCCAAACAATGCATATATTTTTTACAGGCTTAGTAATTGTTGATTGTACTTCTTTAAGGCCTTTGCAGTGACGATTTTATGTTCTCTTCAGAATATGACCGACAGTTAGCACCCACCAAAGCCATGGCAGCGGCTTACCTGGACCCCAACCTGACCCATGCCCTGAACCAGGGGGTCAAACCTCGCTTCAGCGCAGGGATGGAGCGGACAGCTGGGACTCTGGAGCGCGTACTCAGAGTCTTCCACTACTTCGAAAGCAGTAGTGAACCCTGCACCTGGGCCAGCAACATCCGACACGGGGACTCAACCGATGTCAGGGTGAGTCTGCAGATCAGCTGGGTCACAATCCTAATGTTCTCCAGGATATAGAATACTATATCGGATCATATCGATTGCAGAGAAGAGAAATGCATTGTCATTGTTCTTATGTATTTTTGGCAAATATTGAGGCTATCAGATTTATTTATTTATTTTTTACTTGCTGTGTTTATATGGCAGGTATCAATATTTTCTATTGTAATGTTTTAATATGCATGCAGGATTCTTTTTAAGAGCTTTTTAATTATTATTATCTTTCAAAAACCTTAATTAATAACAAACTAACAATAGATTTATTACACTGTCATATTGCTACATAGATTTTTTTCATTCATTATTAAAAGCAAACAGACATCATCATATGAGCATTCGTTTTTGATAAAACATAATTATTGGCTAATATCTGAAGTTTTATCAATTGCTTCATTATTGTTAATAGGACAATTTTAAGTGACTTTTTAAGTTCTAAATTGTGTATTTGTGTAGGGCCCTATGAAATCAGATTTTTTTTTCTCCCAAATTCAGTTACATTTTTTTCCAATTTCCGTTTTTTTCTTTTTAAATTTAAATGTTTTCAGTAAAAATTTTCTAGACACTCTTTTAATGGTTCAATTCAATTTAATTAATCATAAAGCATGTTTGATTTATTGAAATCATGAAACTTATACAATTTAACAGCAATTTATTAAAAGTTTAACAAACATTTAATTAAGGCCCTATAAAATGTTTTTTTTCTCTCTCAAATTCAGTTCTATTTTCACCTAATTCTGTGTTTTCCATAAATGTTCTGGTTTCCATTTCAATGGTTTCATTCAACTATAACAACCAAAAGCATCTAATTAATGGATTTTATTTAAAAAATATTTATTATTATTTTATTTAATAATTTTTTCAGAAATACTGTTATGTATTTACCTTTTCCTGCTAAATAAATTCTGGTAAATATTTTTTCTGATAAATATTCCTAAAAAATAATAATTTATAATAATAATAATATATAATAATGATTTTATTTAGTAGTAATACTATCATTACATTAGGTAATATATTTCTGTCACAGTTTCTTCAAGTTAAACCGGACTTTTATTTTGACAGGTTTGCTGTGAAGACCTTTAAGTTTCTGTTTGTATATGACATGATGACAGGACAATAGTTTTCTCAAAAGAAACTGTAAAATGCTCATGAAGTGACTCTCAGAGCAGTTATAGACATTGTTCATGTGTTCATGTATTCATATTGGCTGGAAACATCATCAGCGTCATGTATGTGTGTGGTAAAGAAACCGCGCGTCTGCGCCATTCATACACACTCGCAGAACATGTAGGATTCATATTGACATACTATTTTTGTGGCTTAATATTCACAGACACTAGTCCATCTCGCATTTTGATTTAAGTGTACTGACCTACTTTTCATTTATCCATCCAAAATTTTACAAATTCTGTGACATTCCGCCTTATACTGTAAAGTCCGTTTTTATGACTCCACTTTAGTACAACATTAGTCAGAGAGTTACACCACAAACATTCCTGTGCAGGACTAAAGAGGATATTTCCTCTGAGCTCCAGGCTTTTCAGCATTATTTAGAATGCAGCTTGCAGTGGCCTAGAACACTCATGGTAAAACCCCTTCAGACAATGGCATGCTATGCTACTCTAAATTATTTAATGAGGTTGGTTTTTGAAGCCAAGTAGCCGTACGACTTCAAAGCGCATTGTCCCGCTTTCATCCTTCGTGTGGCTGCCATTGTCCCAGTTCTCTGCTGTTTTATGCAGGTTTACATCTGATGCTTATCAGTCTTATCAGGTCTGAACCTCATCCAAACCTGGCCCAAACTAAACAGACCACTGCCACAGAAACGTCACATTAACTCACAGTACTTCAATAAATGAAACAGATTGAATTGATGTCTAAGATGAAATTAATGCAGGTGGTTTTAGTGTGATAAAGCCCTATGATTAAGCCAGGGTTTCTCACCGGGTTTTTATTATTTTTTATTTTTTTATTTTTTATTTTTTTAATGTTATTTATTTTTTAGACGTGTTATATTAGTAGTCTATGATGTCTGTAAGGAGATAGAAAAGATCACGGCCATGACGTATTATTCATCACACACTAATGTGGCTTATCAGTTCTTGCCTGATGGCTCATGCATTTTGTAATTTGCATAATAAATTAAATAACAGTTTTTCCATCCTGTTAGACATCATATATTATGCCTCAGCAGACTCTTGCTCTCTCTTGGCCTCATCCATCTCCTCTCTCACCATCGCTGTCTTACATTGATTTGAACCACAGAACTTACTGACCCATAACATGACACATTAATCAAAGAAAGATTAAACTGAAACTCTTCTGGCTTTGAGCCTATTTTCTTCAGAATATTCTCTGACATTTACTCATTTAGATGTGTCCTGCTTTATATATTTTATGAAGTTTATAGAGTGCTATGCTGTCACTAAATGCTTGTGTATGTGTTTTCAGGGCATTATACAGAAGATCGTGGACATCCATAAGGTGAGGTGTGTGTCGTGCTTTGGTCTGCGCCTGAGCCACCTGAGAACAGGTGAAGTTCATTGGCTCCACCCCGACATGGGCGTGTCTCACGTGAGGGAGAGGTACGAGCACAGCCATCCCCAGGACGACTGGAGGTAAGTCACTGTTTTAGTGCTCATATCATAAGCATAAAACCATTGTTAGGGTTAATAGTTCATTTATTTATTAACTGTTTATTTATCAGTTATATTATTATAAATAGCACAAGGTTGGTTTCTGTTTTTCAGCCAATAGCAAACAAGGAGATTGTTCAGAAAACCTATACTTTCATTAAAAATTTAAAACATTTGAAGGAAATCACTTATGTTCAACAAGGCTGCATTTATTTGATCATTGCAGTAAAAACCATACTATTGTGAAATAGTATTATAATATATTTAAAATTATAACATTTTTAATTTTTTAAAAATTATTTCATATATTTAAAATGTAATTTATTCCTGTCCAAAGCTGAATTTTCAGCATCCATTACTGCAGTTTTCAATGTTGCATGATCCTTTAGAAATTAATCTAATATGCTGATGTTATATAATCTTGACAAACAACATATCACTGGAAAGGTCTGAGTCTCAGGATTCCATATTTGGTGATTTTGGTTTTTAGATAGACGTAATATTGACAGAGAAAGCTAGACATTTGTGACAGAAAAATGCATTAAAAATTTTTTTGTGGAGTTTGGATGGCACCCGGTGGCTGTTTGTGGTATGACGCCCTATTTTGGTTTTTAGATAGACGTAATATTGACAGAGAAAGCTAGACATTTGTGACAGAAAAATGCATTAAAAATTTTTTTGTGGAGTTTGGATGGCACCCGGTGGCTGTTTGTGGTATGACGCCCTAAATGAAATGTCACAGGAACCTCAGGTTTTTTCATATCAACTTCAAATTTGGAACATAACTTATTTAGACATAAGGCTTTAATTTTATACCAATAAGTAAAACCTGTTATGTAAAATATTTATAATAAATAAAATAAAATGTATATAGTGCATTTCATTTACAGTACATTTAAACTTCTATAACGTTTTGATACTTTAATATTTTGAAAAAAAAATCCACGTTTGCAATAATCTGCTGATTTTCTTCTTTAAAAAGAGACCAACCGTAGGTCTGTATTCCAAAGTGTTAATAAATTACAATAATTTAAGTTTGGATAGTGCACTTTCATGCCTATTTAAAAAAATGGGGGGTGACAGTTAAGGGGTTAAGAAACATTGCTTATTACTATCAATGTTGAAAACAGTTGGGCTGCTTAATATTTTTGTGGAAACTGTAATACATTTTTCCTTGATGCATTACTTTGGTGCATTCTTTGATGAATAGATAGTTTAGAAATAGAAATCTTTTGTACCATTATAAATCTCTTCACTGTCACTTTTGATGAATTTAATGCATCCTTGCTGAATAAATGTATTAATTTATTTCAAAAAGATCTGACTCCAAACTTTTGCAAGGTAGTGTATTTGAAAATAATGAATTCAATATGATTTCATAAATAGTAATAGTAATAGTAAAATTTCAAAAATAGTAATAGTAAAATAGTAGTAAAAGTTGTGTACATTTTTTAATTTCAGGAGTCTTGGAATTGTAAATGCTGTATGTCAACATTATATTGGCCACCTTACATTTTATTTATAAATATCGACATTGGGACATTGGCCATGTGTAGTTAAATGTCTAGTTTACTTTGAATGTGTTCTCATCATATATGCATTTAAAAATAAAAGCAATAAAGCAATCGAGCTTTCTGTAGAGGAAAGCAACTATGCTTTATTCTGACATGTCTGTGTGGCCATACAGGGGCTTAGTAAAGATTGCCACCACTTATTTCTGTCATCGTTCCCCCTCCTGCTTGATGTTTCTGTCTGCAATACAATCAAAACACCTCTCACATCTCTGAAATAGCACATATTTGACATCTGAGACCACTGTGGTGCTGTGGTACATTTTTATCTGTTATATAATTTTTTTATCTGGTGGTACCTATTGTCACTAGTGGTCTATTGAAAGAAATGATGGTAGTTCAAGCCGAAGACCATTCAGAAAAGTGTTCAATTATGCAAACTTTCCTTTGTTTAATTGCATAAAACAGGAGTCCTGTTCCAAAGTCTTTACATACAGTATGTGCCATGTTATATCTGGGTCATGCCTGTTTTATGAGGGTGACTCTGCACATCGTTCTGTTGTAAAGCATTATGAGAGTGAATGTGCTGTTCATCTTTAGAGGATAAAAGGATGATATAATGGCTTATGTTATGTATAATTCATACAGTGGGGGTGAATAATTCTGCATCACGATGAGGTTGACCCAGTGGGCGGAGCTTTAGAATGAATGTGGCTCATCGTAGTGAGTTTTATCTTAATGATGCTAAATAAAGCAGTGCGAACTTAATTGCGCTATTGTTTATATTCCATTCACGCAGCCGGGGGCTTGTTTCACCCATCTTCTTTCTTCAACTGTTCATTCTGAATGAATGGGCTTTTTATGCGTTTACGGGGAAGTCCGCAGTTCAAAGGATGAGCTTGAGTCTGTTTGCCCTCCAGCATGTCTTCATAATGAAAAACAGAACCCTCGTAATACATGCAGCATTTGCTTTAAAGCAAGACATTTTACCCTCTGCAAATGCAGATCAGCAGGTTAAATTCCTCCTCTTCAGTTTCTGCAGAAATGGAAAAGAAACGCATAGGATTTAACTGCAGGCGACCTCTTGTTTTTTATTGTCTATGATCATGTTTCCCACATGGGATAATGTTATTATTCAGCACAGCCTAAAGTACAGTGGGATAAACTGATTTAAACCAGAAATCTGAACTGGTTCTATTTTGAAAATTTTACTATGTATTGGTGGGAAGATGTTATATAATCTTGACAAACAACATATCACTGGAAAGGTCTGAGTCTCAGGATTCCATATTTGGTGATTTTGGTTTTTAGATAGACGTAATATTGACAGAGAAATCTAGACATTTGTGACAGAAAAATGCATTAAAAATTTTTTTGTGGAGTTTGGATGGCACCCGGTGGCTGTTTGTGGTATGACGCCCTAAATGAAATGTCACAGGAACCTCAGGTTTTTTCATATCAACTTCAAATTTGGAACATAACTTATTTAGACATAAGGCTTTAATTTTATACCAATAAGTAAAACCTGTTATGTAAAATATTTATAATAAATAAAATAAAATGTATATAGTGCATTTCATTTACAGTACATTTAAACTTCTATAACGTTTTGATACTTTAATATTTTGAAAAAAAAATCCACGTTTGCAATAATCTGCTGATTTTCTTCTTTAAAAAGAGACCAACCGTAGGTCTGTATTCCAAAGTGTTAATAAATTACAATAATTTAAGTTTGGATAGTGCACTTTCATGCCTATTTAAAAAAATGGGGGGTGACAGTTAAGGGGTTAAGAAACATTGCTTATTACTATCAATGTTGAAAACAGTTGGGCTGCTTAATATTTTTGTGGAAACTGTAATACATTTTTCCTTGATGCATTACTTTGGTGCATTCTTTGATGAATAGATAGTTTAGAAATAGAAATCTTTTGTACCATTATAAATCTCTTCACTGTCACTTTTGATGAATTTAATGCATCCTTGCTGAATAAATGTATTAATTTATTTCAAAAAGATCTGACTCCAAACTTTTGCAAGGTAGTGTATTTGAAAATAATGAATTCAATATGATTTCATAAATAGTAATAGTAATAGTAAAATTTCAAAAATAGTAATAGTAAAATAGTAGTAAAAGTTGTGTACATTTTTTAATTTCAGGAGTCTTGGAATTGTAAATGCTGTATGTCAACATTATATTGGCCACCTTACATTTTATTTATAAATATCGACATTGGCCTTTGAAAAATGTGTAGTTAAATGTCTAGTTTACTTTGAATGTGTTCTCATCATATATGCATTTAAAAATAAAAGCAATCAGAACTGTGAGCTTTCTGTAGAGGAAAGCAACTATGCTTTATTCTGACATGTCTGTGTGGCCATACAGGGGCTTAGTAAAGATTGCCACCACTTATTTCTGTCATCGTTCCCCCTCCTGCTTGATGTTTCTGTCTGCAATACAATCAAAACACCTCTCACATCTCTGAAATAGCACATATTTGACATCTGAGACCACTGTGGTGCTGTGGTACATTTTTATCTGTTATATAATTTTTTTATCTGGTGGTACCTATTGTCACTAGTGGTCTATTGAAAGAAATGATGGTAGTTCAAGCCGAAGACCATTCAGAAAAGTGTTCAATTATGCAAACTTTCCTTTGTTTAATTGCATAAAACAGGAGTCCTGTTCCAAAGTCTTTACATACAGTATGTGCCATGTTATATCTGGGTCATGCCTGTTTTATGAGGGTGACTCTGCACATCGTTCTGTTGTAAAGCATTATGAGAGTGAATGTGCTGTTCATCTTTAGAGGATAAAAGGATGATATAATGGCTTATGTTATGTATAATTCATACAGTGGGGGTGAATAATTCTGCATCACGATGAGGTTGACCCAGTGGGCGGAGCTTTAGAATGAATGTGGCTCATCGTAGTGAGTTTTATCTTAATGATGCTAAATAAAGCAGTGCGAACTTAATTGCGCTATTGTTTATATTCCATTCACGCAGCCGGGGGCTTGTTTCACCCATCTTCTTTCTTCAACTGTTCATTCTGAATGAATGGGCTTTTTATGCGTTTACGGGGAAGTCCGCAGTTCAAAGGATGAGCTTGAGTCTGTTTGCCCTCCAGCATGTCTTCATAATGAAAAACAGAACCCTCGTAATACATGCAGCATTTGCTTTAAAGCAAGACATTTTACCCTCTGCAAATGCAGATCAGCAGGTTAAATTCCTCCTCTTCAGTTTCTGCAGAAATGGAAAAGAAACGCATAGGATTTAACTGCAGGCGACCTCTTGTTTTTTATTGTCTATGATCATGTTTCCCACATGGGATAATGTTATTATTCAGCACAGCCTAAAGTACAGTGGGATAAACTGATTTAAACCAGAAATCTGAACTGGTTCTATTTTGAAAATTTTACTATGTATTGGTGGGAATTTGTGCTAGTATATGTAGAGCAATGCTTGTTCATCAGTTTTACTGGTGATATTTTTATGGGCCTGATCATGGAGGGACAGCATTTCTACAATTGTATGAATATCGAAGCTGAGGCAAATTTTTGCACTACTCAGATTTGTCAAGTCAAATGCTATAAAGTGAGCTAAGAACTGAAAGGAATAGTTGACCCACAAATGAAAACTTGCTTAAAATCCTCACCCTTAGGTCATCGAAGATGTAAATGAGTTTGTTACTTCAGAACAGATTTGGAGAAATGTAGCATTACATCACTTGCTCACCAATGGATCCTCTGTAGTGAATGGGTGCCATCAGAATGAGTGTTCAAACAGCTGATAAAAACAATACAGTAATCCACAAGACCATTCTAGTCAATCAAACAACAGTTTGTGAAACGAGAAACTACGTGTTTGTAAGAAACAAATTCATCAATTCGTTTTCATTTTAAATCATCGCTGCTGGTGAAAAAATACCTACTTTCACTTTTTCTAGTGAAAAAGTCACCCTTTGTTGTTTTCTCACATCAAAATCCACAGACATTTTGTTTTGAACTACTTTGTACTGTTTTTGCTTGTCAACAGTATTTGATCTGTGCATATTTTTCTCCTGATTCAGACAAGACTGCTTTTCGAGAAAGCAATATTACGGATAGAAGACCCATATTTTAGTTGGAAACAATAGTTTGAAGTTAAAAAATGTTTCCACAATGCATTTTATAACTATCTGAAACTCAGTTTGTCTTCATGTTTTGTGCATTATGTTTGAGGCAGATGGCAGCAAGTTCCAGGTACATCAAACCCTAGCCAATTTAGTGTGAGGCAGGTGCCGCAGCATTCTGACTTGTGCTCAGGTAGAGGGATGTGTAAAACTAATTTAGCGTAATTGAGAGCAGACAGTGAACCAGCTGTGAACGGGGTGTGATTTTTACCTCCCAGAAAGACAGCTGCTGAGAGCAGCCACTAATACTGCCATAATTGTGTTGTCTGGCAGACTTTAAAAGATCTTGTCTCACCGGCATCTCTAATCAGTCACATATGAAAGGGAAGATGAGTAAACAGTGCCATAATCTGAACCATCATTGTTAAAGATTCAATACACACAGCGAAGGTGTTCAACCCAAGGGCTTCATTTTCTAAAGCGTCTGTTGTGATTGGTCAGGCTGTATGACAGCTGCCAATCATTGATGATCACCTGTGATTGATATTCCTGAGTGATTATTTTGTAGGTAGAGCTGACAGTATGTGGAGTGTGTCTTTTATTAGATCATTTCTTTTCCTCTCTCTTCACTCTGCAGATATGAGCTACGGATTCGATACTTGCCTAAAGGATTTTTAAACCAGTTTACTGAGGACCAGCCAACACTCAACTACTTTTATCATCAGGTGATGGATAGTTTAATCTGGCAGCCTGTGTACTGCTGCCAAACCTTTTGCTACTGTCTCCCTGTATAGACACTTCCTCCCCTTTGTCTACACTCTGCACGGGTGAGTCGCACGAAACCTGTCAAGAACACGCCTGGGGCGTATTTCACCCCAAAATCAAAAGAAGCTATAAATTATATTTAGTTTTACTGTACCTTATTATATTTGGACAATGAAACCTAGTAGCACCAACACAATGTTTTGCAGTTTGATATCATTTCCATGACAATTAAGCATGTTCACTTTTTAGTTCCCAGTGCAAATTGTAAAGTCATGGTGGTCTTTGTTGTATTGCTTTAATTTTTGCAGATCCTAATGGCAAAAAGGTTTTCAGCAAAAATGAGCATCATAATAATGTCACAATGCAAAAAATGAAATAAAATAATGGTCCTACCATAGGTTTCTTTTTCTTCATGGAATATTGTGTACATTTTTTATTTTATATTGTGTATTTCATTTATTTTTGTGTTGTTGTTATTATTATTTTGGGGTGAAATATTACCCTTTTTGTGAGATTCACCCACACAGTGCATTAACAAAAGAAACAGAAAGGTAGTTCACCGTTCAAGGCTCAGGGTCTGTAACTGGTTTGATCCCTGCCAGGTAACAAAGATCAAACCATAAGCTCACAATCATCATTGTAAAACACTTAACCGACAGGTGGCTGTCCCTGTGATAAGTTCATGTCTCTGTTCTGTGTCGTCGTCACATGAAAGATAAGGAAATCAATTCCAACCGGTCCTTTTGTGGCAATCCATACAAAAGACAACAATAATGAATACGAATAACAAGAAAATTTGATTTAAATGGATTGCGAGGAAACTATATCAAACTTCATAATTTTTTTTCATGACTAGCAAATTAGCTCTGTATTATTGTATTATGAATGTTTTATTAATTCAACATGCAATATCGGTCTGTTTCAGAGGAGGAGTGAAATGATCAATTCTGTCATTATCTACTCTGTATGGTCAGTATTGTGTTGTGCCTTTCTCCTTGCTTAGACTAATATACATCTCTTCTGTGCCCAGGTGAAAAGCGATTATATGATGGAGATTGCCGATCAAATTGACCAAGACATAGCACTTAATCTAGGCTGCCTTGAAATCAGGTATGTGTGATACACAGTATACACTGTTCAAAGGTTTGGGGTCAGTAATTCATCAAATAATCTTGAAAAAACATATTGCTGTTTCTACAAAATTATTAAGTATCATAACTGTTTTCAACATTGATAATAAAAAATAAATGTTTCATGAGCATCATAACAGCGTAATAGAATGATTTCTGAAGGATCAAGTGACACTAAAGACTAGACAAGCCATCACACAAATACAATTATTTTTGATCAAATAAATAGTGTCGGTGAGAGATTTCTTTCAAAAAGATTAGAAAATCTTTCCCAGCCCAAACTTTTCAATGGTAGCATTAATGATTAAATGTAAGTGTTTTCCCATGACTTTTAACAAATAAAGACTGAATTCAGACAAATCACTTTCCTCTTCTCCTTTACAGGCGGTTTTTCAGGGACATGCGTGGAAACGCCCTGGATAAAAAATCTAATTATGAATTATTAGAGTAAGTAATGCTGTGTTTGGATCATTGGTGTCCAGTTCTCAAATTGTGTCCATATTTACATGAATTATAAAATGTTTTTTCAGACAGCATCCTTTTTATTTAACTTGAGGGCTTGTAGTGCAATTAGTTTTGGTGTTTTTCACCTTAGAATAAAAAGAAATAGTTGTAAGAAAGTTAAAAATAAACTTTACATTGTTTTGTGAGAAAGTTGAAATTTGTGAAATGTAAAGTCAAAATTAAGAGCAATCAGGAGATATAAGGTTGCAGTTGTGAGAAATACAAGAGCAATAGAAATAGTCACAGTTGTGAGAAAGAGTTGTAAGTACCAAACATGGACTTCCATTGGGAAACCTGGCTTAACACGTCAAAAAATGTGTCCTCTCAATAACTATCATGACAGAAGGATTAACATTTTTGCATTGTGCCTGGACATTGTTAGAAATTAAATTCTCATATTACTGCAGTGTTCACTTACGATGTAATGCTGTTAGTGTACTTCAGACCAAGCTCATTCTAGACTGAAAGAAGTACTGTAGTTCTTTGAACCATTAGAGGAATTCTCTCCCTCTCTTTTTTTTTCAAATTGCGTGTATATGGGTCAGAATAACTAGTCCGTGTTGCATGGCCCTCTATTTTTAGTAGAGTATAATTGATCTTTGCGTATCTCCTGCAGTGGTGCAGGGTCTCCATTATTGTAGTGTTGCTTTACACTGGAAGAGACAATAATCTGTAATAATGGCTCAGCAACAAACAAGTTGCTGTCTCGTTTCTTGCGCTTTTACCCCAAAATCTTATGTTTTGTTCTCTTTTAAAGACTGAAGTCAGTTTCTTGCTGTTTTTTCTCCCTGCAGAAAGGACGTTGGTCTGCGGAGATTCTTTCCAAAGAGTTTATTAGACTCAGTGAAGGTAATAAGACATTTCTGAGCTCCTGTGATGACTTACTCAAAACGGTGGTTGTCTTGATTTATTGGATGTGAGAAAATGCTATTGCTCAGGCAAAACCAATGTTATTACCTGCCTGGCTTCCTCTGTGGTCTCACACCCCTGAGATGTTTTGGCCCAGTTCTGTTTTCCTTCTCTTTCTGAAGAAGCCACTAAAGGGAACCGTTCTAATGAAATGCGGTTTGCCAGAGAGCCTGTTTCCTTTTACACCTGACCTAACTAGTCCCTTTTAGTCTTTCAGTATGCTGTGGCAAAATGTCTTCTGTTATTTTAGCTATTTGTAAGGCATTATCCTCTGTAAAATTTGGTATTTGTGAATATTTCTATACAGACAAATTGCCATGATTTTTACACCTTTAAAAGAAAATAATAGAAATAAATGTATGTTGATATTTATTTTTATTTTAAAAAACAAAAACAGAAAAAATCTTAACATCCAAATATTATGCAGTTCACCTTTGCAATTTTGCAGTGATAAACTGCTAATTATTTTCTGCTCGTTGCATCATTAATTGTTCTAGTACATTCTAATTATGTGCGCATTTGGGAATTGTGATTGAGAATGGAAATGGCGTTTGTGTATTTGCGTTCCCGAGGGATTTTCCTGTTCTTTATTAAAGGAGATTTCCTGCATATTTTGTGGCTTTCACTCTCTTCTGCTCTTCCTTTCTATATTTTAAATTCTACCCCCAAAGCAGCCCAAAATCACCTCCTTTTCATTGGTTGCCATGGAAACCCAAGCCCATGTCAAGAGCGAAGAGAGAATTACCGACCAGTTTTGTGGGTTTTAATTTGAGAATCTTTAGATTTACAAATATTCTAGATCTCTCAAGGAGAGGACCCCGATTCTGATTGGCTAATTATCATCTCTGAATAATGATTACTTATTGATAATGTTTACATAATTTGACAGGGCTTGTTTACACCATTAAAGATTTGAAAGCTATTAGAAACCTGTTTGTCATTTTATATTTAGATTTTGACCCCTTATTGAGAAAAATATTTTCTGCAAAGACAGTTTTATTCAAACCTTTAGTGATTTTTCTTTGCTACAGTCTTATTCTTGTGCCATCAAAAGGATTCACGGGCCTCAGTTCCTTCTCTCTGAAGAAATATTGATTTACAGAATTAATTTATAAATGCTTTTTCCTTTAAAAAGTTTCAAATTTCCTTGTTTCTTGCGTTAGGGTTCTTGTTGTCTACGCCTAAAGGTAAAGTGTGTAATTTTTGCACCAGGCAAGACCAAACAGGTAGTTCCTCCTCAGACGTGTGCCATTGATTGAGCAGTATTGAGGAAACAAAGCAGCATTTCACAGTGTTTACAATCTTTCTAAAGTCATCTTATGAATGGCATGTAGTTGTCACTAATCTCGGCTAGAAGAAAGCGCTTTATCTCAAAAAATTCACACACTTCACCTTTGAGGGTTTATAACTAATATTATAATTTAATTACAAGTCACTGTGTTTTGTCTTTGCAGGCTAAATCCCTGCGGAAACTGATCCAGCAGACTTTTAAACAGTTCGCCAATCTGAACGACGAGCAGTGTATCCTCAAGTTCTTCGAGATCCTTTCACCTATATACAGATTTGATAAGGAGTGTTTTAAATGTGCTCTCGGGGTGAGTTGAGTTTAGATGTTAATTAATTCAATTAATTAAAATAAAGCCACAAGTCATTTACATGTAATAACTCTCCTGATTTATTATTTCTTGTCTTTATGATGATAGACTACTTTAATGGTCTGCAGTGCCCTCTGTTGGCTGAAAGATGAATAACAATATAGTTTTGCCATTTTTTTCTTTCAAACGAGTACTCATAAGTAATCATTCATCATTGTGAGAGGACATCAGTTTGCATTGTCTCTATCAGTTTGTGTGTGTTTCATAAAGTGTTTGAGTTGAATGTGTCTGCTGTTGTGTGTGATAGTCAAGCTGGGTGATATCAGTGGAGTTGGCCATCGGACCCGAGGAGGGCATCAGTTATTTGACGGACAAAGGATCAAATGTAAGTACTGTGCGGTTCGATGGGTGAGGGACTGAACTGATAGACAGTTGGACAGTGAATCTAATGTCTGTATCTGTTTCTTTGTAGCCAACACACCTCGCTAACTTCACACAAGTACAGAGTATTCAGTTCGAGGAGCGAGATCGGAAGGGAACGCTGCAGTTAGATGTAGCTGGAGCACCTGAGGTAACTTCCACACACTGTTTTCAGTGTATCATTTTGTCTTATATGTGGTTTTTATATGTTCTTGTTCATTTTCCAGCCTCTGACGGTAAAAACTACAACACTGAACACAGCAGAGAACATGGCTGATCTCATTGATGGTTACTGTAGACTTGTTAATAGAACTTCTTCATCGTTTATTGTCCGTGTACAGAAAGGTGAGAACACAGAAGCACTCAGGCAAATCATATTAAAATTGACAACAGCCTAATCTTAATAATGTTAATAAAATTTCACAGTTTTACTGTTTGGTAGTTTTTTTTTTTTTTAAATCAAATTTGTATTTCTCAATGTTTGTCAACAGAAGGAGAGAGAGCTCTTCCATCTATCCCAAAGGCTCCAAAGTAAGTTGCAAAACTCAGACCCTCAGGTACTATACCACTTTTTTTCCAATAGTTTTTCATTAGATAGATTCAGTTCGTCTTTTTCCTTTGGCCTCTTTGGCTCAGACGTGTGGAATCTCTCAGTGTACCTTCGACTAATGTGACCCGCAGCCCAGCTCCCATGAACGTGGCTGTGGTAGTGCCCATCTGTTATGTCACAACCCCCCTTCACACGCTAATGGAACAGACCCGCTCAGTGGCTTCAACACAGATCAGTGTGGAAAAGGTCATGCTGTGATTAAGTTTGATTGAAAATGTACACGAATCATCTTCTTCAACCTCTGTCACACAGATCAGCAAACCATGAGAAACGGTTGCAAGGAGTCCGGGCCAAAGCCATCTCCGTTTCAGGTAAGACACATCCAAGAGGACGGAGATGTGAAGACCTGCTCAGTGGCTTCAACACAGATCAGTGTGGAAAAGGTCATGCTGTGATTAAGTTTGATTGAAAATGTACACGATTCATCTTCTTCAACCTCTGTCACACAGATCAGCAAACCATGAGAAACGGTTGCAAGGAGTCCGGGCCAAAGCCATCTCCGTTTCAGGTAAGACACATCCAAGAGGACGGAGATGTGACCTCACATTTTCATTGATAATGAACTTAATCCATAACTAATTCCAACCTGGTTGTGTAACCCTCTGATGTTTTCAATTCTTAATTCAGAGCAGTTCTAGTCAAAATGAATGTCTCTTGTCTTGTTTCTAAAATGCTGGTCAACATTGTAATTCTAAAATACTCTCAAACCCTGCTGTAGTTTACTGGGGCATGTTTTGCTTGTATTATGGGGACTGAATGTCCCCACAAGGATGGTTAAACCTGAAGTCACCTGAATAAAGAGGGTCAACGGTCCCCACAAGGAAAATGGCTTAATGAAAGTACTAAAAAATTCATTAAAATGCAAAAAGTTTTTTTGAGGTTTAGGCTATAAAAAACAAAGGGTGTAAAAAACATTAGCTCAATGTAGTAACAGTGCAAGTCACTGGAAAGTCCCCACCTTGATGGTGCATGTGTTTTTAGTATAACCTACGGAATAAGAATGCTTTTTTTTAATCTATCTGTTTATAATAATGGTTTGGGGCTTTGTTTTATTGCTTTGTGTAACAGCCATGAAATACTCTTTTGTTCTGTTGCCTCTCCTCAGTAATGTCTTTTGATGAAGACATTAATCTAATGCTTTCTCTTTCTTTCTTTCTGTCTCTCTTTTAAATCTTTTGCATGCTGATTGGATCCACAGATGATATTGGTGGGGATGGTAAAGTCCAGTTTTAATATGTCTTATTGCTGAGTTGAGCGGGGCGAGATATTTAATATTCACAATATACTGTACGATCTCGAATCATCTTGTGATTTTCAGCAGAGATTTTTTTTTGGTGATAAAATGCAACAATGTGAATATCCCAATGATTCTAATGCTTTTAAGTTTCCTATAGGTACTCATTTTAGTTTTAGATTCCCTCTTTATCTTGTGACTTGATTATATAAATGTAATGATAAAATAACTTCAAATTATAAAAGATGTACACTATATCAATTTAAATTTCAGATTGCTTTAAAGTTTTTTGTCTGAATCAGTTCAAAACTGATTTAACTATTCATTTGCACCATCACTCAAAAATTTTCACAAAAGTCTCCACATGGCATTTTTTTCTTATTATAAAATGTTGTAATAAAAATACATTTAAAGGTCGATATTGCAGTACATTATTTTTATGAAAATAATTGAAAAGTCTTACTGATATTTTCAAATTGAAAAGCAAGTAGGAAAACATGCCTTGATTTAACTTTTGAACTTTTGGCTGTTTTGCTAAAATAATTTTTATAGCATTAGATATTTTGAATATTGTCAAAAATGTTATTTTAATACATTTAAACTATTTTTATACTTACATATTACTTACATATGTTGTGATTATGATGTTATTTTTACCATTTTAAAGCAACATGTATATTGAATATCATCAAACATCAGAATATTTTAATAATTGTATTATATATATATATATATATATATATATATATATATA